CCTCTCTCTCTCAGGACGGCGGCCGCGCCGAGTAGGGCTTCGAGAGGGCCGCGCGAGCCAGTCCTCCGGGTGCTCGTTTTGGGGACCTTCCTGGGGCCCACCTGACGGGTCTGTTCGGCTCTGGGTCGTCTCCAGTTCGAATGAGGTTCGTCTCCCTGGCCGGCTCGAGTTCGACTCCGGCGGACGGTCGTTGGCCAAAGCGCGTGGCGCCAGGAAGGTCTCCAGAGCGAGCACCGAAAGTCCCTGTGAGCCTACGATGCCGCTGACGGCGCCTCCGCCCATGCCGCGCGCCCGCTCCTGCCACAGTGCCGCCCTCGGGGGAGTTTCCACGATGCTGTTCGCCCTGTGCGTTTTGCCCTGGACAGCGAAGGCTTCACGGGTTGTCTAGAAAATATCACGAGGCTTACCCCATGAGGCAACAGACGATTTGAGGGATCGCCGGGTGTCTGGCGCAGCCCACGGCGATGTACGCAGGCGACAGTGTGAGGGACGCAGCCCACGGCGCAGCCAATAGCACAAAACATGATGGACGGAATTGGGTTATTTTGAGAAGGTGGACGATTTGGTGAAGCGCGGGTTGTTTGGCGCAATGTATGGCGTAAGTTATGGCACACTCGCTGATGCAACCCATGGTACACCCACCGAGTTGGACCGAGGCATCGTACGAGTTGGTGGGTTGCGGGGGGGGGGTCTGGTGCAGCCTCGGCAAGACCTATCTTACAAAACACAGTAGATAAGGTGGGTCACGCTCAATGGAGATATGGACGATTTGGTGGATAGCGTTGTGTCTAACGCAACCTCTTTCGCAACACATCGTGCAGACAGAGTGGGGTGCACGCAGTGAGGGAGTTGCCGAAACGGTGGATCTCGAGTTCTCTGGCGCATTCTAGAGTGCAACCAACCTGTGGCACACCCATTGTCCTGTCCCAACCTATGGGGCACCCGCTGAGGCAATGGACCATTTGTTGGATCGCGGGGTGTCTGGCACAACCTGTGGCGCAAGACATTGTTGACAAAGCGGGGGTGCACCCAGGAAAGAAGCGGACGACACCCAGTAAGGACGCGCACGGAAGCGGACGGCTTGCCTGGCGCAACTGGTGGCGCAGCCTATGGCGCATCCACTTTGGCAGCGGACGATTTGGCGGAGCGCGGGCTGGCCAGGGCAACCCCTGACACACCCGCTGAGGCACTGGACGAATTGGTGGCCTGCGGGATCTGGCGCAGCCTGCGGCGCATCCGCTAAGGCAGTGGACAGTTTAGGTGCCTGCAGACAACCTGCGGCGCAACCTGTCGCGCACCCACTGAGGCGACGGACGATCTGGTTGCGGAGCATCTGGCGCAACGTAGAGCGCAAGCCATGGCAAGTGCCGTTGAGGGTTGGTTTTTCCCGCCTCCGCGCCGTCGTCCGGCACGCCCCCGCGGGCCGAAGCGGGGCCCTCCTCCTCCCTGGCGGCACTTTGCTCGGCGGCACGCCGACGCCTCTGTCGACAAGCAGGCCGTGCTCGATGGGTTCGGGCCGCCCTCTTGCGCCTGCCTGTCCCGGTGGCCCTCGCGCCGCGCCAGCCCCTGGCGGCAGGCTCGTGCCGTGATCCTGGGCTTTTTTTGTCGGATCCGACGGTCGATGGCCACGCGCCTCGGGCGGGAGGGCCCCTGGGCGGACCCATCTCCGCCATGGCGCTGGGCCACCCCTGGCGGCGCCGCCGGCGCCGCCCCTGGCGCTGCTCCGTGCGCCAGGGAGGGGGGTCCAGCGCAGATCCCCAAAAATCCGCGCGGAGCGCCAAAAGTTCATGTTTATTCCGTTTTTTTTTGATTCTTCTTCTTCTTTTCCTTCTTCTTTCTCTTCTTCTTCTTCTTCTTCCTCCTGTGGAACCTCCTCGCGACACAGGTTCGAACCGGGCATGAACGTCGCCCCCTCGATGACGTCCCCCTCGCCTGGCCCCAAGACGTATGTGTGCGGCCGGAGGGGAGCTCGAACGGCCAGGATGACGTCACGGAGGGGGATGGTCTGCGAGGGGGCGGCTGGGCCGCGCCCTTGGAGCTTCCTCGCGGCACGGGTTCGCACGGGGCTCGAACGTCGGGCACTGCAGCCGTCAGAGGTCGAGCGCTCGAGGAGGAGGAGGAAGAAGACGAGGAGGAGCAGGAGGAGCAGGAGGAGGAGGAGGAGGAGGAGGAGGAGGAGGAGGAGGAGGAGGAGGAGAGGAGGAGCAGGAGGAGGCGAGGAGGAGGAGGAGGATGAGGAGGAGGAGGAGGAGGAGGAGGAGGAGGAGGGAGGAGGAGGAGGAGGAGGAGGAGGCGTAGGAGGGGGGGAGGAGGGGGAGGAGGAGGAGGAGGAGGAGGAGAGGAGGAGGAGGAGGAGGAGGAGGAGGAGGAGGACGAGCCCCCCTGCCAGCGTTTGCGGCAGCCACGGCCGCCACGGCAGGCGGCGCAGGAGCGTGCTGTGGCCCGTCCCGGCACCGCGCCGCTCGGCACCGCCTCTGCGCGCCCTCCGCGCTGCACTGGCAGGCTGTCTGCGCTGGCGCCGAGCGAGCCACTAGTCCAGGCCTCCCAGATTCGAATGAGAAAAAACGGCATAAACATAAACTTTTGGCACTCCGCGCGGATTTTTTTGATCCGCGCTGGGCCACCCCTGGCGGCGCCTCCAGCGCCGCCCCCTGGCGCGCTCCGCGCGCCAGGGAGGGGGGTCCAGCGCGGATCCGAGAAATCCGCGCGGATCGCCAACAGTTTCTATTTATGCCGTTCTTGGTTCTTCCACAGATGGGGTCAGAGTAGATTCGGTCAGAGGATTGCGCCGAATCGCCGATGCATCGGCGATGCGGCTCGATGCGAAGCCCAGTCTTCCCCGCGCCGACGTCGCGAATGCATCGCCGACGTCGCCGATACATTGCCGATGCATCGGCGATGTGTCGGCGATGCGGCGTGATCCTCCAATCTCATCTATTCGGACCCCATCTAGAAAGCCTCTGACCATGGCTCGAGGCCAGGCACTGGCTGCACGAAGACTTGGGGAGCACCGAAGCTCAAGCAGCGGCGAGGCGTCCTGGCTTCCCAGCCGGCCCACCGAGGAGTGTCCTGAGAACTTGGTGTGCACGACAGGCTATCGGAACACCTCTGGCCGGGGCCGTCTTGTCTGACGACGTCGGCTTCATGTTCGAAGGGCATCGTTTCTGTCCTGAGAGAACGCTGTCTTGCTCCAGGAGCCTGTCGTGATATGCCTACTGGAAGGCCAGCACTCCGACTTGAGCATCCGGCCTCCGGCTCTCCACTTCCACCTGCACCCAGCGACTTCCCGCGCCCACTAGCTCAGAACGCAGCACCCCGACCTCGGCAGACAAGGACAGCATGCATGGAGGGCCCCGGCCTCCCCGCGCAGACCTCAAAAAGGGCCCCGCCCCTGGCGGAGAACCGCGCGCGCTCGCCTTCGCGCCTTCGCCTTCGCTCGCCTTGCTGGAAGGCCAGGGCGGGGGCCCCCGCTCCACAAGCGGTGCGGTCATCACACCGTGTGGTGAGTCGGTGGGGAGTCGGGGCGACCGCGCGGCTATTGGGACTCGGGTCGCTCTCCGAGGACGCCTCGGTCGACTGGGGCCGCGCGGGTCCTAAAAAATCGTGCGGCGGTGGACCGTGCGGCGAGGCCTGATCATATTATATATGTATAGAAATATGTATATGCATACACACATATATACATAGACACTATCGGCAAATACATACATCAACCAATCCATGAATCAATCAACCCACACATACGAAAGCAAGTACATATATAGATGGACACGCAAGTGCACCAACAAGTCAACACATGCATGAGGCAATACATTAATAGGCAATACATAAACTTACACATAATTGTATTATCTAGCTATGGTCGCACATATATGTATGCATGCCGGTCGGTCTGTCTGTCTGTATGTTTGTATGTATGTCTGCATGCATGCATGCATGTATTTATGTACGTATGGACGGATGGATGGATGTATGGATGGATGTATGGATGGATGTATGGATGGATATATGCAATGTCTGCCTGTCTGTATGTCCGTCTGTATGTATGCATGTGTGCATGCATGTCTGTATGTATAGATATATATGTATACATATACATGTATAGATGCATGTATGCATGCATGCATCTATGCATGTATATGTATATGTAGATGCTTGTATGTTTGTGGTATATATACATATTATATGTATATATATATATATATATATCCTGTGCCTCAGCAAGCCGATGTCCCACGCCAACCACGCCAGAAGGCCGGGGGCCTTCCGAACCTTCTGAGAAGGCCCGACCCCTCTCGGACGCCTGGTGTTTTTTTCAATCCTCCCTCGGCCCCCCGGGTGGCCGTGCGGGACGGTCTGGGCCCCCCGGGAACGCTCTCGGCGAGGCGCAGCTGCTGCAGCGCACCCCGAGGCCGAACAGCAGCGCCGAAGGGCAAAACTGCGCCCGAAGGCCTCGAACACAGTTGGTCTCACCCCGGAGCTGCCACGAGGCGGTTCCAGGGTGGCATCGTCTTAACCCCATACTACTTTTCCCGGCCTTCGGCCGAGGGCGTCTAGGCCTTTGGGCAATTTGTCACCATCAACAACAATAGCTTGTGTTCTGCCAGGATCGCTGGGTTTCAGAAGGCTCGACTTGAACCGAGATGCGAGGATACATTTGTGTAGGGCAAAGAGGGGAAGGAAGAAAGGAGGAGGAGGAGGAGGAGGAGGAGGAGGAGGAGGAGGAGAAGGAGGCATGCTGAACGAGGGACTGTGGTAGAACGTGTCTTCGTTACCTGCTGGCTTCTGTATCTTTTCTCTTTGCCACCTATTCATCCTTGTCCTCCGCGTAATTATCATATTTTCCATTCTTTCTTGATGTCTTTCCCCTCGGCGTAGAAACCGCATATGTCGATATCTAATGCCAGAACTGTTTCTGATGCCATCTTCGCGTTGTTCCGCTCTAAGTATATTCCCTGCAGAGCCTTGCCGGTGTGGAACGAAAAACGACATGTCTCCAGCATCTTCTGGTACTGGGTCTGGCGCGTCGTGTTTGTCCCGCTCAGGCGACAGCGTCTCTTCGGTATCGTGCCGCTACATCTTCCAGCAACGGCTGTGCTAGTGCCAGTTTACCCATGGAAGTGTTGTAGCTCGCCACGTGCGCAAATCGTGTTATCCAAGTTCGGACCCACTACCCCTGCGCACACCTCTGGATCTGCGCTGGATCGGGATGTTTGTTGGAGGCGAGCTGCGGTGCCGTGCCACGCTGGGGCCGTGGAAGCAGCCGCAGGCATCAGAGCATGAAGTGACATTTGAGCGACACATTGACCCGACAGTCCAGACATTCTCCCCGCAGCCCGAGACTGGCTTCGAGAGCGCGCTCGCAATTGCAACTCACCCATCTGGTATACGTATGTATGTAGATAATATACATGCACACATATATACATGTATGTCTGTATGTATGTATGTCTGTATGCTTGTATATACACATATTTGGATCTGTCTATACAGATGTATATAATTGTACATGTATGTATACACAATCTTCAAGGCAGTGCTTGCACTTAGCGGTTCCTATTTGTTACATAAGCAATTGGGCCTGACGGTCGGTTTGGCGGCTATGTTGCCGCCGTCGCCGCCCCGTCGCCGCCTCGTCGCCGCCCGTCGTCTCAGCCTGTTTGTCGGACTGGCGGCTATGTTGTCGCCGTCGCCGCCACGTCGCCCGCCGTCGCCGATCGTCGCCGCCGCTTGATTGTACCACATCTATTGCTTTGCGATGCTTTGCATTGCTTGGCATTGCTCGGCATGGCTTGGCATTGCTTTGCATTGCTTTGCATTGCCTTGCATTGCTCTTCGCTGTTTTGCACGGTTCTGCACAATCTAGGTTGCACAGCGTAGCGTGCAGGTGTGCATTGCATGACGTAGATCGCTCCACACACCCACACACTGCACCACACAGACTGCTAGACACGCTGTGCCTGGGGTTCACGCTGGTTCGTTTAGGCTTTAGTTTTCTTACTTAATGACGACGGACTGCTTCGTTTAGGCTTCTAGTTTTCTTACTTAATGACGACGGACTGCTTCGTTTAGCCTTCTAGTTACTGTACATACACATGTGCATACACACATGCTGGGGGACGCGGACCAGGGCGCTGGAACTGCTGCCTACCCTCTAGGGGGGCCCGGCGTCCTCTTGGGGCGGTGGAGCCTCCGGGCCCGTGGGAGCGTCCAGGGGCCGACACCGACGGCTCCCCGAGAAGGCCCGACAGGTCCAAGACAAGCCGAGAGGGCTCGCAGAGACATCCAAGATGCCACCGAGGGCCTCTCTTGGGATCTCGGGGGTGAGCAGAAGTCGGGTAACCTTGGGGAGGAGGAGGAGGAGGAGGAGGAGGAGGAGGAGGAGGAGGAGGAGGAGGAGGAGGAGGAGGAGGAGGAGGAGGATGATGATGAGGAGGAGGAGGAGGAGGAGTTCTGGAGAATGTGCCAGGCCAGACTCGTTTCCCGATGGATCTGGAGCGGGCTCCCGGGCCCCTAGAACCCCCACAGACGGCCGCAAAGGCCCAAGAGAGTTCCAGTAGTCGAGGGTGGATACACCTCCTACCCTGACACGCCGATCAAGGAATTGGCCGTTTTCGGTTCGCGAGAGGGCGTCGCGGCCGTCGTTTTTGCGGGTCCAGGTCCGTCGATTTCGGTCCCAGGCCGTCTTCACTAAGGGGAGCTTTACTAGAGGGAGGCTTGTCCACCGCCGAATTAGTGACCCAACGCACCATCTAGTTGCCAGCGATGTCGTCAGGAATATCACTCCACGTGCACCGCTCGCTCCAAGTGATCATCGAATTGCCAGCGCTGGCGGCAGCAAGTTCGCTTTGAGCGCCACCGCCTGCTCCTAGCGCGCATGGCGCTAACCATCCTGGTTGCTAAGAAGCCTTGCCCCGCGTGTGACCACCTGCTTGCCTCCGGCGCACATCGCGCTGCTAGCGTTGCTGGCAGGAGTCCTGCTCCCAGAGCGCCAGCTCGCAGCCGGCGCATCTCGTGCCGGCTCTATTCCGCGGCACGCCGTCTCGCCAGCGTTGCTGTCACTTCGGCTGCGAAACTGCGAGCGTCTGGCAAGAGCTTGCAGCCAGAACGCATCGTGAGGACGCGTCACTTTCCAAGGGTACCCTGGCATCCGCGTTTCTCGGCCCATCCTACAGTCGGGGCGCTGAAGCAGGAACCCTGTTCGTTGGGGAGGGGCTCCGTGCTCCTTAATTGTTTCACAGCTTGCCTTAGGTTTTCCTGAGGCCTTTCATGGGAAATCGAAGTTTAACCTATGGGATGTTC